ATAGTATCAAGAAATTACAGTCCACGTATTGAACTCTCTCTGTTTGAGTAAAAAAGGGAAAAAAAAAATATTTCAAAAGAAAACCACGAACTCTAAAGAACCAAAAAGGTACTCTACAATCAAACTATGAATATATCAAGTTCAATTGCCACGCTTTATAAAAAAATAAATTAAAAAATCACTTAAGTTCATAAATAACGCAAGAAAACAAAAGACTCGAATTGCAAAGAATGAACGCTTTGATTCATTACCTTACATCACAACCCTAACTTGTACTTTTTAATTTATAGAAAACCCAAATTGCGTGAATTAACACATCCTAACCTATGAAATCCAACGAGTGGAGCAGCAAAAAAGTAGGAGTTGGTCATATTTCTTAAGATATGAGTTTAAAGTCTTAGACGAATTCCTACCAAAATTAGAGTTTTTAAGTTTTGTAATTTTTTTATCGAGCCTTTAAATTGTAAAAAATAAGAAAATTATATAAAAATCGATTCCATTCGGATACCCATGGTTTTGGTTCAGGACAAGAATCGACTCAAATCCGTCGATTGTAGGTTCTCAATTCCAATTCCTAATTTTTTTTTTTCAAAATCGAATCGAAACTTCCAATTTCGTTCCGGTTAAAATGTCTAGGCTTAAGCCGATTGCTGATTTACTTAATATTAAGTCGGCTCTACCTCTCAAATTACAATTGAGAGAAATAAAGGCCTAGACAAAAAAAAAATAATAGAAAAATCAATCAAAACAATTAAATCGAACTAGCTCAAGCCGGTTTGACACGGTAATTGGTTCGATTTGATTTTTTTTATAAACAAAACCATGATGAGTCGGTTTTGTCATAATTTGAAATCTCAAAATGCTAGTTAACCGAAACAACACAACTCATTTACATGTGTTACTTTTTTTTAAAAGAAAAATAAAAATCAAAAGATAAGTCTTAACCTCATAATTATATCTTGATTCTCTCCCATCTATGATGTTGCCATTAACTAATAGAATTGGGAATTTCCTTTTACAAGTTCATATGTTATACTTGACTTTTTTTTTCCCTACTCATAAAGTCAGGTTACATAATCCTACTACATTAAAAGAGGGGATGAGTCCAACACTGTTCATTTGTGCACTCTCCTTTTCACACTTGTAACTGGCCCAACACTGTTCACGAACTGGTTTCACTACAGTTCATCAATAAATAT